CTGGTACACTTGACTAGTCATCTCATCAGGTCTATCAGTAGACAAAAGACATGGAAAGAACAACAACCTTTCTCCTCTTCTTTGAGTCTCTGAGGCACTGTCTCCTTCTATTAAGTTTGTCATTTTTAGAAAATATGGATTCATTTCTTGACAGAGTTCCATGTTCTTTAGGAAACAGATCAACATGTCAGGATCATATTTAGGGAAGAGTCTAGTCAGACCAGACACACTAACAATACCAGTATTGCTAGCAATTTTAATGTGTTCTTTAAATGTCTTGGGAGCAAAGAGAATCCCGTTTACCTCAGTTAGTAGTATACCCTTATTCACAACAACCCATACCTTGTCTTCACTTTTAAGAACACTGATCAAACCAGTTGAGTGCAACAAATGAAGAACATCCAAGACATCTTCCCTATTATCTGGTATAAAGTAATTATCATTGTCCTCACCAGCAGACATTACATCAGAGAGGGTCAGTATATTCTCTTTCCTTTCCTCCAGTAGACCATACATCATGTGACAGTAAAGACTCAAATTCCTCCCACTTGTACTACGAATGGACTCACAGGCACTAGACAACATTTTAAAGAAGAAATCCACATCACTCCCACCAAGCTTACGACAATCTAAGAAGACACTATCACACCTTTCCCTTATAATAACCTCCTTTATTTCTTTCTTTCTCCTCCTCTCAACAGGATTACTTATCTTATCCACATGACTGACTATTACAATAGCATAGCATTGATTAAGAGCTTTCTGTGCTTCATTTCTCACAACTGATAGCCATTGATGAAGCTGTTTGACTGCTTCCTTCTCCAATATATTGACTACTATCAGGAACACACCACCAGAACCTTGTAACAGATTCTCAATGACAGCACTGTGACTGGAGTAGTATTCTGAATGACCAGCAAAATCATGAAGAATGATGTTACCCAGTTCCATATGTTGTATTTTATAAGGAATGATGCCAGCAGTACAGGGCACTACCCCTCCAACATTTCTAAAGGAACCAAGAACAAAAGAACCAGTAGCTGTGTCATTGATGACATGACTAAAAGTGCTTTTACCAGCACCAGGATTACCCACAAAGAGGACGTTAACATAAGAATCAATTGGATGAGATAATTTTATATCACCAAACTTGTTAAAGATAGGAAGAGTACTGTACTGCATGAGTTTTGAACTGTGAGCCACCTCACTAAACCAGTTGTGTTTAGCTAGTTGTAATGGTGTTCTTCCCTTGTAGTCTTTAGCCAACGGATCACATTTACCAGTTGATAGTAAATATTCAAGAACTGCAGAATTACTGTAATAAGCAGCAATGTGAAGAGGTGTCTGCCCCTCATCGTTAACAGTCATTGGATCACAGTGTTTCTCATTGATGAGATACTTTACAATATCAATGTGATCAATGGCACAGTGAAGAACAGTTTCGCCCTTGTTGTTAGTAGCCATTGGATCACAGTGACACACATCAATGAGATATCTCATTGTATCAACATGATTACCTTCTGCAGCCCAATAAAGACAAGCCTGAGCTCCATCATCACATTCATGTGGATCACAGTGATATTTAGTGATGAGATCTTTTGTAACTTCTAACCAGCCATGCCTTAAAGACAAATGAAGTAGACTAGTGTTCTTCCATATTAGGCCATAAGTTCTTTTGATTTTATTTGGTTCCTTCACTAATGGTAGTAAGGAAACAGCTTCATCATGTTTGCCATCTCTAAAAGCAGCCCAACACTGGGTCTCTAACGAAGTAGTCTGGTGGGGCCAGACTACTAACGATAACGAAGACATTGTCTTGTGAAAGTTGTGATAGACTGATAGTTAATTGAATTCATTGCCACACCCACTAACTTAGGAATTTATTATCCATACACTACACACACACCATGATTACCAGTAACTGAATAAACTGATGGGGAGGAAGAAAATGAAAAATAACTATGTGCATACACAGCTGCTCAGCAATAATTAACTGTTAGTTAGTGCCTTAGAATTTGATTTTGTTCAGAAATTATGAGATGTGATGCCATGAGTTCGATCACTACAGTTAGCATTAGTGTTTGGCAGTTGCAGTGAATATCTGCCAATATCTACCATTTTGTTTAATTTAAAAAAACAGAAAGGGAGAGCAACAAAACAACTAGGTCAATGAAACAATGAAAGCAATAACAACTATGAAAAGAACAAAACCTAATAAACAAACACAATGAGGAGAAATGAATTAGTATTATTACTGTTATTATTAATTTAAACACAAAATAATTAACAAAGTGATTTATGATAAACACATACAAAAACAAGTAAATACAAAATAATAATAATAATAATAATAATAATTGTAATAATAATAATAATTAATAATTAAAATACAATTTAATAATAATAATAATAATGATAATAATAATAACAAAAAGAATTAAATGAATAAATAAAAAATAAAATAAAATAAATAAATAAATAATAATAACAATAACAATAATGATAATAACAATAACAAGTCAGAACGGAGACAAAGACAAAGAGCCTGAATGCAAGGCATCAGTGATGAGGGCTGCGTTACCTCGTTGAATGGCAACTGATAAGCATTGCATTAAATATTGACCAGCATTCACATCCCCTGAATAAAAACGAATCTTACGACCCAAGGACTTGATGAATGACCTAGACAAAGGACCAAGGGCACCAAATGACTCAATGGCCACAGGGACAAAAGAGTATAAAGATGGGAGAGTGCTGTACTTGGAGGTCTTCTTGGATTCTGCTAGAGCAGCAACAGCACCTGAATTAGAAACTGCCACAGAACGGTATGAGGGAGCTAGAGTGTCAGGGACTGTAGCGTCCCAAACCAGAGGCTTTCCACGTTCCCAAGGAACAAGGGTAAGACCATCAGGCCTTTTACCATCAGACCTAGAAAGGCCAGATGGCTCCAGACAAGAAGGAATTCCCGCGGAAGAGAGAGCTCGATGGAGGACATCGTTGATGGCTGCATGACGGTGGAAACGCATCCTACCCTTCTTACAGGAGAGCCCATGAAGTCCCAATGAGTCAATGGTGGCCCCACAGTGACGACATGTGTGAGGAGCACAGAGTGGGAGTCCTAATCTCAGAGCAACACAAATCCTAACAGACATATCATCCAGACGGAGACCAAGGGAGGAAATAGGCAGACACTGTAACCAGGCACCAGACTCATCAGCTGAAACAGCGATGAGCCTAGCACGATCAACATCATTCGACACAGACTCAAGCAAATTCGAGAGCAAATTATCAAAAGTAGCGTCCACCTGAGGTCTATCCCATGCAAACTGGCTGGATTCCTTATCATCAGCTGGGGGGGGGGGTTAGAGATGGGAATGGTTTAGACCAACAAGCCAAGGCCTCAGCCCGGTAAGGCAGAGAAGGAGCAATATTAGTGCTGGACAGAATGAGGTGAACGAGAGGAGCAGAGGCAGCAGCCGAGGACAAATAGCAGGAGGGTGCAAGCTGCTCTGCTGACCGAACCCCCAAACCACCCAGCCTGATTGGCAATGAGGCTTGGGTCCAGGATGAGTCAGAGATGTCAACAGATACATTCAGGACCTCACTTAACAGGGAACACAAGACATTATCATAAGTTTTAAGGGAGGCAGAGAGGAATGCCGGAGAAGAACGGAGTAGAAAAATGAGACAAGGAATGGAGAAGGAGTAACGCAGGAGGAGTAGAGAGTCATGTAGATGAAAAAGGGGGAGACGTTTCCCCAAACGACGAAGAGCATAAATTTTTTCATCTATGGCTAAGGTGATGCTGGAGGAATCACCAATGGGAGAACCTAGCAAAGAAGCGGAGCATGGTTGAGTCACCATTGCACCAGGGAGAGCTGAGTGTAGCGATGTGATACTGTCGGGACAATTAGAAACAATCTCACTCTTGTGGGGATTCAAAACTAGACCTATTGACTCAGCTTTCTTAAGAGCAGAGATGTCACAGCTCAAATCAGCAACTGAGCCACCCAAAGTAATGTCATCCAGGTAAGCTATACGTAATGAAGATTGGAGGGGGACGAGAAAACGGTGTAGAACAATACAGAAAAGTAGGGGGCCCAAAGGGTCCCCCTGTTGAACACCTTCGGAGGAGTTCAGAACACGATCTTCCCAGAAAAGGGAGGAAGATGCAGAGTAAGCTGAAAATACCATAGGGAAAATTGAGGGCCAGACATCCAAAGTAGCCCGTAACATACAGTCCCTCCTCACGGTGTTAAAAGCGTTGCGAAAATCCAGCTTAGCAACAGCCTCTTCAGAAGAAAGGTGGTTGAGAAAATTACGCCCAGCATGGACAGCAGCCTCCACACCTCCTTTAACCCCAAAGCCCAGCTGCAAAGGAGAAAAATAGCTAGACATATCCTCAGATACCCTAAAACAGGCAATTTTGGCTACCAACCTCCTGAGAACACAACCGACAGCGATTGGTCTCACACCACCACCACGCTTGTTCAAGGCAATGAGGCGAGCACCAAAAAAGAAGTGGCGGACCACAGGAGGGGTATGGCCCTCTAAAACAAGGGACGAAAAGGCAGCCAAAACAGTGAGGAACGGAGAATGGGGAGATTCAGGAGGGAATGCAGACAACATATCCTTAAGGTGTTGGGGGCGAAGGCCATCAGGGCCACCAGCGGAGCCTAAGGGAAAAGAACTGATGGCCCTCGCAACCTCAAGTTCAGAAACCGGGGATGGAGTGGGATCCACAGGAGAAGGGGGGAGTAATCGGGAGGAGAAGGGGGATGTTTGTCCAGGAGGGCCCGGTAAGTGTCTTCTCCAGACTCAGCGATGGATGAGTCAGAGGAGGCTAACCGGATAGCACCTCTGAGGTCCCCCTCTTCCAGTTTCCGAGTAACAGCAACTCTGAGATAATTATCGGATGTAGGAGAATGACGACGGGAGGAACAGGAAGAGGGGCACTGGCCCTCTGGTGGACTGTTATTATTATTATTATTATCATAGGGGTAGGAACAAACTAAAAGTTGGGGGGGCTAAGGTATTATTTATTTACAATCATAGGAGCATGATTTAACAATTGATCATTAATACATAGCATGTACAGAATTAATATTGTCCAAAATACTGGCGTCTATGCTCATTAAATGTAACAAATTTCTTTGCAATGTCCTCAATGTGTAAATCGTCTGTAAATTCTTTGTGTGTATGCAAAATAACTACATGATTAAGACGCTCTTGTGACATTGTGGAGCGCAAATAGTTTTTATATCTCCTTAATGTCGAAAATCTACGCTCAGCTGAAGCTGATGTTAATGAAGTTGTTAAATGAAGAAGTAGAGCCTTGTGTATTTCTGAAAAAAATAAGAGTGCATGTTCTTAGAAGCTAAGCTAGTGTATTAATAGTTTTATAAAACGAATCATCACACAATATGCACACATACATTTATAAGGATTACCTAAACTAAAGTCTATAGTGTTGATAATAGTAATACATGTATATCACTTAAAGTTGGGAGGGGCTAAGCCCCCCTTCAATGAAAGTTGGGGGGGCTTAAGCCCCTCCTGCTCCCCCTGTTCCTACCCCTATTATTATTATTATTATTATTATTATTATTATTCATAACAAGAAATATAACAGAATAAGGTGGACAAGAAAATATAGCAAGATAAGGTAGAACATAATATTAATAAAATAAAATGAAATAAGTCAATAGTGAGGTTTGATAAGTTTAATGTTTACTAGTGAGGATAGATAGTAATCCCCGCTCCATCCTCCAGATTAATGGTGCGAATCTTAGTTCTGGTGCCTCTCACACATAGATTGGTGGCCCTTAATAAAGCAAATGAAAGTCTAGTGCGTATCCAGTAAATGACTGTGCTGTATGGTTGATCCCACTTGATAGACAGTTTGTCAGCCATACACTTTAAAAAGGTGTTTGTCTCTGGGCCCAACAGACCATCCACTGTCATACACAGAGGAGTTAAGCTACAGTGGATTGAGTTACAATTATTATTATTATTATTATTATTTATCATCATTATTATTATTATTATTATTATTTAATACAGGTGATGTCACTGACAGTCCCAGGTATGTATGAGTATCAATTGGAGTCACACTTTGAGCACTACTGCCGAATGAATGGAGGGCAAAGATTAGCATTTGTACCTGTAGTAGCAGGTGGAGAGAGAGCCTGTCATATTCACTACACTACAAATGAACTCAAATTAAAGTGAGCATCTTTAGCTTCACATGCATACCATATAGTGGAAGGACTTAATTTGGCGAATTGCTAAATTCTAGCGATTGGTGAATTTTAATTTGGCAAATTTTAATTTGGCAAATTTGTGGTCATGTGCCATTGAGCAGGCACCTAATGGCTCAAAATGGCAGATTTTAATTTTGGTGAATGGCTATCAAAACATCAAATTTAACTCCCTCCTAAATTTTCCACTGTACGGTACTTTGCCTTAATTTAATCTCCTTGAGAGCTAATTTTTACTTTCTCTTTTTTGACACTCTATCTCCATCACCTCTATCTTCCTTTCCCCTTTCTCTTCCTCCATCTTTCCCTCCTCTCCCTCTCTCTTCCACTGGTAGTGAAGGAGAGTTATAGTATTATTAGATGGAGGTGTTGAGTATTGTGGGTATGTTAGTGATATTACACGTACTTGGCCTGTCAATGGAAGGTTTACAGCTGCACAGAGAGACCTTTATGAAGCTGTTCTGAGAGTGAAAGAAGCTTGTATTAAAGTTAGTTACTGTTATTCTTATTGCCCCATTGCTCTAATACATGTATTGTTGTCAAATTTGTTGTTGATATTAGGAATGAGGTTATAATCACATTATATATTACAGTTATATTTAAATACAATTACTCCATTTTTATTTGTGTATTGTTTTTGATATTACAGTGTTGTCAAGTTGGTGTAACACTAAATTACATTCACTCAGTCTCAAAAGAGTTGCTACAAGAAGAATTGAAAAGTGAATGCTATACCAATCATTCATATTTAGAATTAGATATTTTGCCTACTGATCTAGATGGACCAGATTTAATTCAAGTATGTATCAAAATTTTACAATCTATCCCTTTCATATTTTTAATAAATTATTTTAAAATTTTGCCAGGCACTCAATGGTTTGTATCCTCACGATATTGGGCATTATTTAGGAATGGACATACATGACACGCCCCTTCTGTCTCATAACGTGGTTCTTCAGCCTCATATGGTAATTACTGTAGAACCAGGTGTCTACGTTAGGAGGGACTTCCCCATTCAAAACCACATCAAAGCTAAAGAGTGAGAAAATGGCTCTGAAATTACCCCAAATTTTTATTGCATTTTCTGATACATATTGATGTACTTATGCTGTGTAGAAAGTTTGAGCTGATTCCAACTTTAATTTTTCAAGTTACAGCCATTTTAAGAAATGCCAAAATTTTGAAAAATACCCAAGGCTGTAGCCCATGGTTTTTTTTCTGAAAAATGGCTCCAAAATCACTCCAAATTTTTATTACATTTTCTGATGCATATTGATGTCCTTAAGCTATGTAGAAAGTTTGAGCTGGTTCCGACTTCAATTTTTCAAGTTATCACCATTTTAAGAAAATGCCAAAATTCTGAAAAGTACCCAAGGCTATAGCCCATGATTTTTTCTGAAAAATGGCTCCAAAATCACCCCAAATTTTTATTACATTTTCTGATGCATATTGATGTCCCTAAGCTAAGTAGAAAGTTTGAACTGATTCCAGCTTTAATTTTTCAAGTTACGGCTATTTTAAGAAAATGCCAAAAATTCTGAAAAATACCCAAGGCTATAGCCCATGGTTTTTTCTGAAAAATGGCTCTGAAATCACCCCAAATTTTTATTGCATTTTCTGATAGGTATTGATGTACTTATGCTGTGTAGCAAGTTTGAGCTGATTCCAACTTCAATTTTTCAAGTTACCGCCATTTTAAAAAATGAACCAAATCTGAAAAATACCCAAGGCTTTAGCCCATGGTTTTTTCCAAAAAATGGCTCTGAAATTACCCCCAAATTTTTATTGCATTTTCTGATAGGTATTGATGTACTTATGCTGTGTTGCAAGTTTGAGCTGATTCCGGCTTCAATTTTTAAAGTTACCGCCATTTTAAAAAAATGAGCCAAAATCTGAAAAATACCCAAGGCTATAGCCCATGGTTTTTCTGAATATTGGCTTCAAAATCATCCCAGATTTTTATTACATTTTCTGATGCACGTGAATGTCTTTATGCCTCATGTGGAATGTTAGTATTATTTTTATTATTTTAGGTTTCTTGGAGCTGCTGTAAGAATTGAAGATGATGTCCTCATTACTTCTCATGGACCTCAAGTACTGAACAAAGGGACACCTCAAACTGTTGAGGAAATAAGTGCATTAATTAATTAATAATTAATTGATTAATAATAATTAATTATTGTAAATTTATCTATGATATTAATTGTCACTAATTTATTTTATTATTGCAATTTAATTTTTTGTATGCAGATTAAATTTATTAAAAATTATTATTATTATTAATCAATTCAGTAATTATTCTTTAAGTAGTTCATAGTCTAGTTCAAGTCTTTCGATAACATTTTGTGGTAGACAGAAAATCAGATTGACTCCTTTGATCTGTCTATTGCCTAGCAATGAGAGACCAGCCAATCCAAATAAGGTATGAAAAGGATCAACCTTTAAAAAAGAAAAATAAAGTCGTCTTTGTCTAATACTTTCTTTTACCAAAATTAAATCAAATTTTAATTTAAAATTAAATTAAATTTTCAATTTTTTTACCATGTCTCCTGGTCTATCAGAGAATCCTCCTGTTTCATCATCTTGAGTTGCCATTATGAACTGAGTGAGTCTCTCCTCCAATGAGAAGGTACATTGAAGCTACACTGTACAACATTATGAAGCTAACCTTATCAATCCAGTGTATCCTACCAATGATACTAAGAGATGCCAGAACCCACCAGGAGTAACAGACATCAGGTAATTTCTCAGGACGACCTAAAAAATAAAATAATATGCATATTTCTACATTGAATATTCTTGAGGTTTTGATGAATTAACTTTGATGTAGAACTTTATAGTCTCATACAAGGTAGTATACTAAAAATTTACAGAGTGTTATGCTAAAAATTTACTGACCGTTTAATCCCCCAGAAGGAAGCTGTCGCTCACACAGCCACCAGCCTAACTGGTCCGCATTGATAACATCTAATCTTTTACAAATTGCTAGTGACCCTACACAACAATATACCTGCATGTAGAGATACCACACCCGTAAAATATGGCGTAATCTCGACCCGTCTCACCTGACCAGCGTGTGATTCAGAACCTGGTATGACACCGAATCCTCCATCGAAATTCATACATGATGATATAAACTGAACTGACTTCTCAATATCAACAGCATCAAGACGACCCTTGAGATAACAATAATAATATAATTATTTTAATGTTATAATATTTTTCGTACCAGAAGACTGAGAGTTGCTAGTGCACAGAATGAAAATCTGGTATCAACTTCGCCTACAAAATTATTTCATTCATATTCTCTTGATTACAGGGGCTTACCCCATCTATCCCCAACAAAAGAGCCGTCAGGTTGCTGGAGTTTACTAACAAATGAAACTATTCTGTCTTTATCAATCAGAGACACTGAATCATATAGTATTAATATCTATTAATTACAACAAATGAATTTAGTAAGGAATCTTTAAAGTAATGCATAAATTATTCACGTTTAACATCATTTATATAATTAAAGGAAAATAGCTGAAATTAGTGAGACATTTTAGTACACACAACTAAAAATGTTATTATTACCTGTACAGCGCTCAAGGTGTACAGTAAGTGTGGGTCGTGGTTCACTGCTGGTCTAAAACCACCCGTATCTTTGTCAAAGCAGCTCATCACGTAATCTAAAATCTCTGTTTTATTCATACGATCCAATTGACCAATAAGATCCATTGCTGTAAGGCACCAGTAGATTCCACTAACACGCAAAAACTCGGTCATGCAATAATCCTATTCATAAATAAAAATTAATATTAATGATGATGAACAGATTGTCTCACAAGGTCATCTTTATTCTTTTCAAAAGTTTCAATGTATGATGCGTGTTTTTCTAACAATAATTCCTGTAGCTCTGGCCTATCTGGCAACTCTACATCTTTTACTGGAGTCCCCTGTGAAATATAAAACGGAAAATAATGTAGCAAAAATAGTCTTCTCACCATTTCTTGAGGCTACGCCCACCTGTGTAATCTAATCAGCCACTCCCACTTTACACACGTGCAACAACGTGGGTAATGCTTTATCTTTTTTCACAACAAATTAAATTAATTTACACAACCAATTAATCTTATTTTCAGAAAATTTCCTTTCCAGCAATCTCTTCTAGAGTCAGTTCAAAAGTGTCCTTATTTTCTTCAGTCATTCTTTTCACAACTTCACCTTTTTCAGCCAATATTGTTTCTATATTCCTATAAAATTAATAGCAATGTCATTTCATGCAACATAAAATACATGTACGTACTGTTTCTGATCTCCAAACCAACCCAGATTATCAGCTATAAGATGAAGGCTTTTACAAGATGGGCACCTCACAATGACCACTCCGCTATCATAAGCCTGCTTTGAAAACTGCTTGGTAGATCGGGTCTGGCACACATTACAAGTATATAGTAGCTGCAGTCTTGGTTTAAGTGAGCCGACCCTACTCTTAGTAACACTGCCAGCATTTGATGACTCGCAGAATCGTCTGCTTGGGAGATAATTGGTTGCTAATGATGGCCTGATGAACAGTGAAGTGTTAATTCTGCTAAATCCTTTATAAAAGGCGATTTTATGATAGATATAATATCTCCATTGTAAAAGTGATCGGTTGAAAAGCCTGAGTGGCATATTTGATGGTTTCTGAATTATATTTCTGTTAAAAATTAAAGATAAATAAAATGTCTTATTTATTGTCAGCCATCTTACCTGCTGCGCTTTATTTGGAATCAAACAAGATGGCTGAAGCTGGCTGGGATGATGTGACATATTTGAGGAAGAAAACTCCAAAAGCAGCTGAAAGCAAGTCTGAAAAGGTACAGCAGTGGTGTCTATTTGATAAATAATAAATTAATTAGGCTGTAAGCCAAGCTTTCAGGAAAGGAGAGGAAGTAGATACAACCAAAAAATGTAGTTATAAATTTATTAATAATTAATGTTAACTTTCTGCACAGTTACTGCTGCTACTAACAAGCAGAAGGTTGCAGCTAAAGACACGGCTAAACTGGACAGGGAGACTGAAGAACTGAAACGTAAGTGTGCATATATAATAATAATAATACCTTAGTTTGATTATACTACATGTACTGATGCGTAATCATAATGTATATTTACCGGTATGTGTATATGCACATAATGTCGTTTATGAATTATGCAGGAATGTTATTTTTTATATTTTTGGTACTATTAGACATATTTTCCTAACTTTAGATGAGAGAGTTACACTTGATTTTGGTCGAACTCTACAGCAGGCAAGAACAGCCAAAGGAATGACTCAAAAAGACTTAGCAACAGTAAGCATATTAGCCACATAACATTACGCCATCACTTGAACATATACTGGGAAAACTCTGTAGTGTAGTGTTGATTGTTTCCTTAAAAATCAATTATCATGTTAATAGTGTGTGTACAACTGTTCTAGAATATTCTGTAGTACTACACTTATGGACTTGTTTTTCACTTTGTCTTAGAAAATAAACGAGAAGCCTCAAGTTGTTAACGACTATGAGAGCGGTAGGGCCATACCCAATCAAGCCATTATTGGTAAACTAGAAAGAGCAGTAGGTAAGAAATAAGCACATAACACAATACATGCGGTCATTGCAGCATAAATACCCTGCTTATATATTTTGAAGCAATGTATATTTAAAAAAACTATTAACAGTATTAATTGTACAGCTGCTAAATGTATGTTTGTCTTTTATGTTTTAGGAGTGAAATTGAGAGGTAAGGATATGGGTAGCCCTCTTAACCCTCCTGGGTCAAAGAAGAAATAGGGAACGTCCCAAAGACAACGAACCAAGTGACTATGTACATATTAATCAATTTATATTATCGTTTGAAACTATTTTATGCTAATAATAATAATAACAATAATAATAGAAAATGTTTCTATTTTAACTTAGTGACTTTACAGCCTAAAATTTTTTATATGTACATAAGCATAATTTTAAACAAAATCACTGACAATCACCAGCTATAATAATAATGATAAATGTAGATTGATTACATAATTGCTAGTTATTAAGTGGTTGTCACTGCAGGGGCGGCACTACCTGCACTAGCAGCCGGCTGCTGTTTTCCTTGTGCCAACTCTTTACGAGTTGCGTCTTGCAATAGTCCGGTGTCCACCTCTTCGGCTGGCAACTGGACGTACCGTATCACCGACCCACGTATAAAACAATTCTTGACCGAGAGCTGTAATAAAAATAGTATCAGTTAAGTGACATCATTACAACTGTTACTATTATTATATAGACTATTTAATCTATGTGCTATTTAATCAGTCACTCACTGTAGTGTAGGTACACTGTTACAAGTGCTATATAAACTGACTTATATAGTGTAGGTAATGCATTGATGCACTGTGACAGTAAATATGGTACACTATTGTTGTGATATCATGTGTCAAAGGAAGAGAGACAGTGGTCTGTATCATTATTAGTGTTTACATTCTGACTAATACAAGGAAGCCAGTCACAGACAGGTGTGTGTCACCTGATTCTGTTATGACTCAGCTCGGCATGCCTGATCTATAATTAGACAGAGAGACATGCACAAACGGATAATAGCTACTATGTTATGTCCTGTTAGGGAAGACAGTTGTTGGGTTGGGTCAATGGGGACATTACGTGTAACCACAAAATAGTAACACAAAGGATATTGCTAATTAGTAATACATTAGTACTTTACCATGTGCGGATACTTGTCTGGATCTGGGATACTAATATCAGTCAGTTTGATATTGAGATACTAAAATAATGAAATAAAATTACTAAGTTGCCTTGACGGCTTTTTATTTAATCAATCTAACCTGATCCACTGAATGCAGTGTCCCATGAATACTATTAGGAGAAAGATATGAGTAATGGTGACATGAATGTGAAATGTGTGTGTGTGTTGATTGTATTCATTTTGGGAACACAAGTAATCAAAATGACAGTGCAAGTGATGCATGTATAAAGGAAATAACATCGCCATTGTTCTATTTTAACGTACCCAGTAATTTTGAAAACAGGCCTAGGAAAAATACGGTCAAAGTGATTGTGCAGCTTACCTGATACTAAAAATAGAATCACGTGACCCTACCCCCTAGTTGTTATAAAAAGGAAAACTGGCGCCAAAGCGTCATTCATCGCCTGCCTCGCCTCAAGAAGACAGCCTCTCTTTTCTTACCTGAACTTACTTCATTGTTATAGCCTTCCATAGCCACAAAAGATGCAAATCTTCGTGAAAACACTTACCGGAAAGACCATCACCCTTGAAGTTGAGCCTTCTGACACAATCGAGAACGTCAAGGCCAAGATCCAAGACAAGGAAGGAATCCCACCTGACCAGCAGCGTCTTATCTTCGCTGGCAAGCAACTTGAAGATGGCCGTACTCTTTCCGACTACAACATTCAGAAGGAGTCTACCCTTCATCTTGTTCTCCGCCTCAGGGGAGGAATGCAAATCTTCGTGAAGACACTTACCGGAAAGACCATCACTCTTGAAGTTGAGCCTTCTGACACTATTGAGAACGTCAAGGCTAAGATCCAGGACAAGGAAGGAATCCCACCCGACCAGCAGCGTCTTATCTTTGCCGGAAAGCAGCTTGAAGATGGCCGCACTTTGTCTGATTACAACATCCAGAAAGAATCCACACTCCATCTTGTTCTCCGCCTCAGAGGAGGAATGCAAATCTTTGTCAAGACTTTGACCGGAAAGACCATTACTCTTGAAGTTGAGCCTTCCGATACCATTGAAAACGTAAAAGCCAAGATTCAAGACAAGGAAGGAATTCCACCCGATCAGCAGCGTCTTATCTTTGCTGGCAAGCAGCTTGAAGATGGCCGCACTTTGTCTGATTACAACATCCAAAAAGAGTCTACACTTCATCTTGTTCTCCGCCTCAGGGGAGGAATGCAGATTTTCGTAAAGACACTTACCGGAAAGACCATCACTCTTGAAGTTGAGCCTTCTGACACTATTGAAAATGTTAAAGCTAAAATCCAAGACAAAGAAGGAATCCCACCCGATCAGCAGCGTCTTATCTTTGCCGGAAAGCAGTTGGAAGATGGCCGTACTCTTTCCGATTACAACATCCAAAAGGAATCTACACTCCATCTTGTTCTCCGCCTCAGGGGAGGAATGCAGATTTTCGTAAAGACACTTACCGGAAAGACCATCACTCTTGAAGTTGAGCCTTCTGATACCATTGAGAATGTCAAGGCTAAGATCCAGGACAAGGAAGGAATCCCACCTGATCAACAGCGTCTTATCTTTGCTGGAAAGCAGTTGGAAGATGGCCGTACTTTGTCTGACTACAACATTCAAAAGGAGTCTACACTTCATCTTGTTCTCCGCCTGAGGGGTGGTTTCTAAACTACTCTCTACTGGATCTGCCATAAAACTTATGAACATTGTTATCTCCTTAACATTGATTTTTGCTTAGATATGTAGTACATAGTTATTTCCTTAATACAAACAAAAGAAACTTTCATTATTATTAGACATAACCATTGAAAACAACAATAGATAATAGAAGTTATAGTAGAATAAATGAGCATGTGATACTAGATGTTCACAGGGTTGTGCTAACCTCAAATCATTTTTTAGTTCTACAATGACTTCTTTCCCCACCAATGATTTAAAAAATGAATAGAACAGCTATTGAAAGACACAATACATAACAAATGCAGTCAATGATACAAGAACATGGACAAAATTATTCTTACAACTCACTGGCATTGTGCCAAATGTCAGTGCCAAACTTTTTCCCAAAAATAGCCACTCCTTTTAATTTTGGTGCAAAATCTAATATTTTACACTGCGCATGCGCAAATCAGAGGGCGGGGCTGTAGTGTGGCCTATGCATATGAAGGAAAATGGAGGATTACAGAGCACCAGTAGAAGTCCAGTGGTCTCCATATTCCTGGAATGGAGGGTGAGTTGGAACATTAATTAAATCATTACCAAGCATTTTAAAATGAAAAATACCTGTAGAACCGTTCTAGCTGTTTCTGGTGAAGATTTCTCAGTCATTGCTTCAGACACACGTCTCAGCGAAGGATTTCAAATTTACTCACGTGACTTCCCCAAGACCTACCAACTGTAAAGTTAATGTATAATTTGTACTAATCGTATTCTCTCGTATGGTTTTTAGTGGCGATAATGTAGTCCTTGGTTCATGTGGTTTTCAAGGTGATGTCACTACACTTAATAAGGTCATTGAAGCACAATTGAAGGTATTAGTACATTACATGCCCATGCATCTTCATACCTACTCTCTTTTCATTCCTCTCTCAGATTTATGATCATATTTACCAGAAGAAAATGAGGTGTGTGGAAAACGTTAATTTGGTGGTAAATCACCATCACAAAACCCACGATTTTGTTTTATTCTGACTAATAATGCAACTGTAGAATCTCCAATTTTTAACACCAATATTATTACCTTTATTTCATTGCAGCTGTGAGTCATTAGCTCAACTGCTCTCCACCATTTTATACACAAGACGTTTCTTTCCCTATTACACATACAACATACTCGCTGGCCTCGATTCTAAAGGTAAACTATAATAAATTTCGAACGATAATCTTATAAAATTTTATAGGTAAAGGATGTGTTTTTAGTTTTGATCCCATTGGTTCGTATGAGAGAGAAGTATACAGAGCAGGTGGATCAGCTTCTTCAATGCTCCAGCCATTGTTAGACAACCAGATTGGTCTGTTGAATCAGACTGGTGTGGAGAAAAAACCGCTCTCCGTTGAGAAAGCTGTCCAGCTTGTTACTGACGTGTTTACTTCAGCAGCAGAAAGGGATATATACACTGGAGATGGGATTAGGATTAATATTATTAGTGCTGATGGAGTGGATATAAAAGAAGTGCCACTTAGGAGGGACTAGATGAATTAATAACTGAGACAGGGGATCAAAATTCATTAATTTTAATAATGTGTAATTATTAATAACTAGTAATAATTATTATTGGTAGGCGTGGTCTTTAGCGTGTAAGATAAGATCATGAGCAAAGTTCATGTTTCATGAACTTTTGGACTTTTGCATGAACTTAAATATTTTATGAACATTTCAATGTGATAGCATGAACTTGCATGAGCAATAATGAATTGCATGCATGGCACAGCATATTCTTGGCTATGTAATTAACCAAGTCCAGCGTGCTCACCTACCTACAGTTGCTAAGTTACAGTTGCTAGGTTACTGCTGCTAAGTTACAGTTGCTAAGTTAAAGTTGCTAGGTTATGGTTGCCAAGTTACTGTTGCTAGGTTACTGTTGCTTGGTTACAGTTGCTAAGTTAAAGTTGCCAGGTTACGGTTGCCAAGTTACTGTTGCTAGGTTACTGTTGCTTGGTTACAGTTGCTAAGTCAAAGTTGCTAGGTTACGGTTGCCAAGTTACTGCTGCTAAGTTACAGTTGCTAGGTAACTGTTACTAAGTTACAGTTGCTAAGTAACTGTTGCTTGGTTACAATTGCTAAGTTACAGTTGCTAAGTCACTGTTGCTAAGTTACAGTTGCCATGGTATGCCGTGCCCCGCCCACATAATGCATCATTAATTTTTAACTCCGGGAAATTCCCGCCACAAGGCAGCAATGGTGGAACAAATTGATGTGGAAGATGTTGACTGCTTGTTTCAGAGAGCGGCCGAGCGAATGAGGAGCAATACAAACCTCCAGCTAAGTGATGAACAGAGACTAGAGCTGTATGGATACTATAAGCAAGTACTGATGATAATGGAAATGTGCAAATGAACAAAAAATAAAATAATTATTATATATAATGATAATTATTTGAATCTTCTTAGGCCACTGAGGGTCCCTGCACTTCAAGAAAACCAGGTTTCTTTGATTTCACTGGTAAAGCTAAATGGTACGTGAAACTGAAATAATTAAAATTACAATATTTTATATAATTACAATTCTGTTAATATTATTATTATTATTTTCAGGGAAGCATGGAATAAATTGGGTACTCTGTCATCAAGCAAAGCTAAAGAACAATACGTAAGACTAGTCGATGGGATAGATCCAAGATGGAGAGACTCTGATAAAGATGAAGAGAAAGTGAATAATAATAATAATATACTTTATTGATTCAAGCAAGCAATTGATGTACTTTGCATGCAGAGTCATTCAAGTGGGAATCGTAGTAATCTAGCTGGCCCTGTGGTGAGTAGAATGGCTGTCAAGGAGGGTGAAGAAGACAAGCTAACCGAACTCCAGAAGAAGATTATTGATTGGTCAACTGAAGGCAATGTAGAGAGAGTAAAGGAGTGTATAGCTAATGGAGAGAGCACAGAAACTAAGGATGAGAATGTAAGTATACCAGCAGCCAGGAGTAGGATCAATTTTGTATTAAAAGTATTAATACTTTTTCATCATTATTATATTACAGTATTAAGTAGGAGTATATATTATTATTAGTATTTGCTATTACAAAATTTTTATATGCAAAAGTGGGGAATTCTTTCTGAGCTATTTTTAATGAAATATACCTACTATATAGTACAGGGACTTTGAAGTGATTTTTGAGCAACTTTAAAAAATTCATAAAAAATCTAAATTTGATCAGAATCAGTTCAAACTCTCTACACAACATAAGACCATATATATGCATCAGAATAAATCATAAAAATAGAAAATTCTCTCCTTTTTAATTTCGGTGAAATTCGGCCGAAGACACTGTACTATAGTACAGGGACTTTTGCCCAATTTTTGAGCAACTTTAAAAATTTGTATATAATCCAGTTTTGATCGAAATCAGCTCAAACTTTCTACACAACATGAGACCATGTATGTGCATCAAAATAAATTATAAAAATGAAGAATTCTCTTCCTTTCATTTTTAGTGAAATTCAGCCTACACCCCTGTACTATAGTACAGGGACTTTGGTCCCATTTTGAGCAACTTTAAAAATCCATAAAAAAATCCAATTTTGATTGGAATCAGCTCAAACTTTCTATGCATTATAAGATTATACATCATAAAACTGGAGAATTTTTTGGTCACTTACATGTATGACAAAATACCCTGTACCACCGGTCTTTGGCTAAATTTCAGAGCAACTTAAAGATCCCATTTGGATTGGAAACACTTCAAATCATTTTTGATAAAATACTATGCATTATAGACTCATTTTAAAAATAACTAGGTGAATGTAAACATTGAGGGGGCGAGCCATCAATTCACATTGTTTGATAAGAAGATTAAAATTATAATAAATCCAGCTCTTAGCCTGCATGCATATTCAGACCCCGGCCTCATGGCCGGGGTCTGAACAGAGCAAACACACCAGCTAACACAGCCAAAATAATCCAGTAAAAGAGACAAGGATGAACCATCCTGTCACTTTGAAAAAAATGTGCCAAACTAAACTTTTAATCAAGCTTCCATCAATTAACATCTTTTTGATATAAAACTACTGAAATAAAATCAATCCAGCTCTTAACGTGCATGCATATTCAGACCCCATCCTCATAGTCTGGCGTGGTCTGAACAGAGCAAACCCACTATTTAACACCACTGACCAAAATGAACTGTGACAAGCTAAACTTCTAATCAAGCTTCTCTCACAGTTTTAATTTTTTCAATGAGAGGACTAATCTAGAGGAGTCTTAGATCAAACTACTTTTAAGTTCTTCAGCCTTTAGAAATGCTTTAGACAGCCCCTCTCTCTTATCTAACTGTTAGAAACTCAATCTGAGTTTGTCACGTTAAAATTTCCGCCATCTTGCTCTTCTTTGACCACACCCTCTAGATTAATTTTGCCCACGTGGTTCAAATTTATCAATAATAGAATACTAATTTAATTTTCGTATTCTTCCGTTCATAAACAAGATGTAACGCAAATAGACCTAGACAGATTAGTGTGGGTCTCGCTCATGCTCGCCCCAATTATTGACTTTGAAACATCCCATTTTATTGTCCTGTGCAAGTTTTTAAAAAGATGCTATGAATGAAATGATAAAATTTAATGTTTTATTATTAGGGTATGACGCCACTACACTGGGCATGCGATCGTGGTTATATTGATATTGTGGAATGTCTTATTCAAAATGGAGCTGATGTTCAAGCAAAAGTATGCAAGCATGTATATTTATGCTAACTATAAGATTTTCTGTACAGGATAATGATGAACAGACTCCACTTCATTATGGTAAGCAGTTTTATATGGTGTTACTTTTCTATACATTATTGATTGAATTTCTTGCTATTTCAATTTTTAACTTGCAACTACATGTATATATCAAGTTCATGCTCTCCCTTTTTTTCTCTCTTAGCTACATCATGTGGTCATCGCGATGTTGCTCTCTTTCTAATCAAATCAGGAGCAAACGTCACAGCAATAGACAATACTGGTCAATCACCAGTTGATGTTTGCGAACAAAATATCAAAGATATATTCAATTGAATAATAATAATGATAATAATAATAATACTGGTCTTAAGTTAGGAGTACTGCAATGAATGGGATCAAAATAGCAGTGAGACATGATGATACTAGATTGACTCCATTATTGCTCAAAATGTTATACCCAGAGATATGCTTGGTCCCTTTCTCCCCTGGACAGTGTATAATCACTCCTTTATTCTCATCATAGCCGGTATACTGGAGTGTAGCACCTAAAACTGAGTCTATTAGTGAACCAAACAATCCTCCCATTAATCCTAATGGTATCACAATCCACTGTGGAGTGGATTGTGACTCTGATGAGTATTCATAAGTTGAGAGAGCCTGAGTTATATAATACACAGTCCCCATGAATAATCCACCACTGCCACTAGCTAGGAGACCAGGTATGGAGACTCCACCGTTAGTTCCTCTTGGTACTGGTCTCAGATTTGTAATCAGTATGGGTCTCAGTCCTAGGACAGAGCCAATCTCTGATGCCCACGTGTCGCCACAGCAGCACGAGATGGCACCAAGACCAGCCAAACGAAGGATTGCTGGAGCATTAATAATTAATGGACCAAGGACTAACCCTCCTCCTTCTCTTGATATGTATAGCAAACACAGTGATGCTGTGCAGGCAGCAAGTCCATTGCATAAAACTTGAATCCAATCCCTTGCAGTCCCTACATTTATTATGCAATTTAATTAAATCTATGAATATTTTTATTGCAATACCTCCATCTTCCTTGGCCTCAAATTTAGCTTTCTCTCCTTTCCTCCATTTCGTGAGTCTCGAGGATGAGAGAAAGAAAGCAATCATGCACGCACAGAGAGAGGAGTCGGCTAATGTCAGAGTGTATCCTACAATAAAAGCCACTGGACCAGCAGGTGGGTCCAGTGATTTCCTCAGTACACCATACAGGGAGACTGACAAGGATAAAACCACTGCAACTCCCCATCTTAAAGAAGTAATGGAGTCTCCTCTACCAGTTACTATCAGCCATAGAGTCAGAGAAAAGACGAATAAAATTCCAAAGCCCAGACTAAAGTAAAAGGCTCTCATTTTGGAAAGAGGCGGGGCTCGTAAGTGGGTGTGGTTATTTAACGCCCACGTAGCGTTGCCTAGTTACCACATTGCAGCAACTCACCAGCTAAGAGCTGATAGTGGTGATGCCTCCCAAGAAGAAAGGTGGGAAGAAGAAAGGAGGGAAGGAGAAGGGAGCCAAGAAAGAGCCTCCTCCTCCAAACAAGATTGAAGAAGAGCCCTTGAGCGAATTGTCAAAAGAGTTCTATCTCATTCAAGTAAAAAAAAAATTGTATTAGCCCGGCATGCTGACTGCCATTTTCTCAATCATAGATTCGTGACTTAGAGGAGAGAGTAGCTAGATATCAATTGAAATGCGACCACCTCCAAACCACTAACGAGACACTGCAGAAGAAACTAACACAGCAATTAGAAGACCAAGAGCACATCATTGCACTCCTAAACAAGAAGATACAGGAGCAGACAGAGCAGTTTGCTGAGCTTGATGACCAGCTAGTGGCACTGAGACATGAAAAGGAGACCGAGAGAGAACGATTGATGAGTGAAATATCAGCTATTAGGGAGGAAGCTCAAGACCGCCTTGATCAGTTGACAGCAGAAAATACAGTCCTGCATGCCACACTGGACTCTCTAGAAGAATTTAAAGTTAACAAAGAGAAGTGAGTACTACTTGTACATGTACTCTACATTAACAGTTCTTATAAATAACAATACATAAATGCTCTTAATTTCATGCATCTCAGTGAAAAATAATACCTACTCAGAGGCGTATTTAAGGGGGGGCTGAGGGGGCTTGAGCACCCCCCTCAGGGCTGGGCTCAGAAAAAATTACTGAAGTCCTGGACTCTTGCATCACTACCAAGCCTCTTAGCAAAGTTATCTAGCCCCCTGATCATGATTTCAGCAGTTTCCAGTGCTTTAAGGAGCAATCAGAAGTACCAGTAACATAGCAGTATCACTGGCGGATCCAGAAAAATTAAAAGGGGAGTTCCATTTCACTTAAGTAGGTGTAGCTCATTAATTTTAATTAAAATTTGGGTGTAGATCTAACTAATAAAATGGAGGAAAAGTGATGCAAACTGACTGCAAAGAATCCAAAGATACTGCAAAAAGACAACTTCTTCTGCCAAAGGGGGGGGTTCCATGGAACCCCCCTAGATCCGCCACTGAGTATGCTTGAAATGATCTTGGCCCCACCCGTAATTGTCGAAAATGCAGGAAAAAGCCGTTTTACCGCCGTAAAAGTGGATGTGGCCAAAATCGCGGCGCGCTTCGCGCGCCCTCAGCACCCCCCTTCTCCAATTCCTAGATACGCCCCTGCTACTTCTATTACATTGAATATACCAATTGTGTAATCTAATACTGTGTTTACACTAGCTTCTTTAACTGAGTCAGCCTTGTTTAAAGTGGGCTAGCACAGTTTCATTTGATAGTGTAAATAGTAACCAAACTGAGCTGAAGTGAGCTGGGCCAAACCAGGCCAGCATGGTAAGTACAGCAGGACCAGCTCAGTTTGGCTCAGCACGGTTTGGCCCAGTTCCGTAGTGTAAACGTAGTATAAGCTGATCTTTCTTCTCTCTCTTTGCATGTGGTTAGGTTGGAATCTGAGCTGAAGAGCAAGCAGGAAAGGATTGAGGAGCTCAAGAAAGAATTTGACGAGAAAATATACTCATTAGAAAAACAAGCTGTCCTTGACAAAGACAGGTACAGTGCTTATAGCATTAATTTGTACTTTAATTATTGTTACATTATATTAGGCTTCGGAAAGAAATGGTGTCAAAGGTCAACTCAGTTGCTTCAGAGTTTCGTAAAGTCTCGGACTTACAAATGGCCGACACAACGAAACGAACTATACAAGAAAACATGTCAATCGGTCGCCAGTTGCATCGAATGTCAGACAAGACAACGGAGCTAATGAAAGAGAATGAGAGACTGAAGGAGAGGGAGAAAGAACTGTGCCGACGTATGGAAATAATGGAAGCAACGGAGAGAGATGTGACAAGAAAGAATATTACCAACCAGAGAGTGAGTTTGAGATTTAAAAAACGAAAAAAAACAACTTGTTTCCTTTTGCTGTAGTTCCTGGAGATCCTTCGTGAGAAGATACAGGAGCAGGAAGCTGTGCTAAGTGAGCATAGTGACTGCCATGATGAGATACTTGCACTTAAAAATGAGCTGGAGCAAGCTCAGTTTACAACAGTGACACTCACACAGCAAGCAGAAGTAAGGAAAAGAACTTGACTGCAATATAGTTAACTATACATGTGCTTATACTGTATTTCTAGGCATACAAAAGTAGCATGAAGGGACTAGATGCAGAGCTAAAGGAAGTTCATAAGGCTCACGAGAAAACTAAAGATGAAGTGAAGAGTCTTAAAGCGCTGCTCCAATCTGCTACTTTCACACTCAAATCAACCCTAATGGTATTAGAACTGCAGACTAAATAAAATATTACACTAATTCATACTGTGTCTGTGTATATTGCAGGCAAGCCCTGAGGATGAAACAAATAGAGACCCACTAGTAGTGACATTACTGGATTTACTAAAAGCAGCTCCTAATGGTAGGACAGGGAGCAAGAACCAAATAGGAGGAATGTAAGGAATTCATGGAACATTATTATTAATTTTTATTATTTTTATTTTTTAATAGTACTAGTTATAAGCCTGGTGATCTGGGGCTAGTTCCTGGACATTTGCCGCCGCTTCAGTGTCAGCCAAAAAGATAGAGAAAACTATTTTTTATTATAAAAGAAGCAAAAAAACTAATCAACTGTTAATTGTATGAATCTTTACAAAATTAATTGAAGAAAAAATAAAAGAGTTCCTAATTGTGTGAACACTACAAATTCAAGATTAAATGGCGATGAATTGAAAGATGTGAAATAATGTTAATTATTATTTTGCTACCAGGACAAATCAGAATCATTCTTGAAGCTCATTTTGACGCTATTCTCAGTATAGAATTGCTGAAACCAGCGACGATGGGCCAATATCAAGTGGTCCTCCTTCACCAATGATGGAGTGCCTACATATCGCTTATTAACCCAAACCAAGGCATCACGCTCTATCTATTAGTAAAGAGAAGGACATGTGTAAAAACAATACATTGACACCATTGGGACCACACTACCTGTCCTTAATACAGAGGTGTCCTCATTTCAGAGGTACTTTTGTATAGGCTTGTACCAATTGGGATTTGGGTGATTACAAAATATCCTCATTATAATTTATAGTGTTGTTTTAGTATGGCACTATAATAGGTTTTAGTTTTAGTCATCGTTTACTAAAACAACACTATTATAAAAGTATCTATCTAAAACAAACTTGAGTTGCATCTCCTTTCAGCAAGAACCATGTTGCAATAAAAGTTGGTATCCACCAATCACAGTATATGTAGTGCGTAAATCTTTGCAGTAATGGCTCCTCTGGTACAGTGGTCTGTATGAATATCCCTTTTCCAATGAAATGCTTAAAATAGAGGAGAACAACACCAGGACCAACCTATTATACATGATAGCATTGAATTTTGCTATTAAAATTTAACTCAGAGACATTAATATTTTACAACAAACATGCATGTACATAGCGTAAGGTCATTGTAAAATATAGTGATTTCACTGTTTTTAGACCTATACCATGTACATAAAAAGCATTGGTTCAAACTTCCCAGGAGCATCAAATCATCAACTATAATTATATCAGAAGACATCTTCACCAGAAGTGCAATAGTACATGTAGCGTAAGGTCATTGTTAAGGTCATTGTAAAATATAGTGATTTCACTGTTTTTAGACCTATACCATGTACATAAAAAGCATTGGCTTAAACTTCCCAGGAGCATCAAATCATCAATTATAATTAAATCAGAAGACATCTTCACCAGAAGTGCAATAGTACATGTAAACTATTATTATAACCTGATCGACTGATACATGGAAATCTAATGGCTTTATCCTCCATCTTCCAAAGAGTTTATTGATGAGTTTGAGCTCCATGTGACCAACATGAGTCCTTGGAGGAGGACAAGCCTCCCAATTAACCTAATAATACAATAATTATAATAGTTTAAATAATTAATTTTCCTAGAGTGGTGATTTAATTGACGAAGTCATTAATTAAATCACCAACCATCAATCTAGAGTATGCAGTCATAGTAGAATGAGACAATTAAATTTTAGATAAAAGATGTTATTCAAAAAAATAATATCTTACAAATATTACTAGTAAGTAAAAGGATAATTACGAAATTTTTGTCTCTAAAAAACTTAAAGCTATTTACTTATTCCCTACCTCCCATTCGTGTGTTATGATGCGTCCAAGCCATGTTGATTTCCTAAATTCAGTATGGCAGCCAGCTTGAACGCCAGTCTCATGAATTGCTTTAAGATGAGAAACATCGGCACCATTCTCTGAAATGTCCTACACAAAAATTAGCATTAATCATAGTATAATTAATTACTGCATACCTCCAAGTGACAGTTAATGTAATGGACCGAGCGACCACGGTACTTCCATTGTCCTTTCTTTATCTCTTGTAACTCTGGTATCATAAAATATGGGTCACGGCCCTCCGCATCATACCAAACTAAAATAAGACCGTTCACTTCTTTAGACGGCCACACTTTTATTTTTACAAAATTCGGAACTTTTGCTGCGTACGGTACGCTGGTACACTGGCCCGTCTCACCGTCAAACTGCCAGCCGTGAAACGGGCACTCGATGCAGTTTCCATACACACGGCCGCCTACACCTAGATTAGCTCCAAGATGAGGGCAATAAGCGTCCGTCACAAATACTTGCTTCTTGTCGTCAGAGCTCCGAAAGACTGCAAGGTGCAACCCGTTCATGCTTATTGCCTTGCTGCAGCCCGGAGAGAGTTCAGAGGAGCGCATCACCTCGTACCAGCCGTTAGGATAAGGAGGAGGAATGTCACCGACTACTCTCTTCCTCCGGACCATGTTAGCAATCTCTTTCTTTGTCTTTCCGGGAGTTTGGAGGTAACCTATGTCTCTTTCCGCCGGCTTGAAGACAATGTCTGGAGTTCCGACGAGAGCTTGGTAGAGCTTGTAGAGGATCCATGAGGTGTAAACGAGGGCTCCAGCTATTGCAATCCAGCGGAGAGAGCTGGATAGCTCCAGTTGTAGCAGGGAAGGGGAGAACAAGTCTATGAGTTTAATCGTTGGAGAGGTACAGGTTGTGTTGGCCTTACATTCTCCGTCAAAGCTTCCAATACTAGTCCTGTATAGGTGGGCTATGGAGAGAGCAGCTAGCAAATGAAAGAGACCAAAAAGCAGAGCTCCCTTGCTCATCGCCATCACACCACTTGTGCCGATTTCACTGGTAGGTGTGGCTCAATCAATCAACACCCACGCGTTAATCAATAAATTTTAGCTCCGCCCTCAAGAAATTGTCTCCTTTTTATTTCTCATTTTTGAACTTATTATTATGCAAGCAAGGTTTCGTGCTGGCCTATTGGTAAGCTCTATTTACACAGGGAATGGCCTACTAATAGTAGATATTTTGAATTTATTTAAATTTTTAAAATGAATTAAATTTCTTGCTTTTTAGGGTGCCTTACAACAGTTTGGGAAGGTCTCAGTGGTTCCTAAACTCCTTTGCTCTTTGTTCCCCCTATTGTATTTGATTGGATACATACCAGGAGCTGAGGATAACCTACTAGTGACACCTGGATTGTGAGTGAGCATTAATTAGAATAACAACCAATAATAATAATAATTTTGCTCAATTAATTTATATGGCAGGGGATGGGGGAAATGAATCCCAGTTTTGGGTTTTAATGAAATCATTAGTTGAATAATAATAATGAATACTTAATTATCACGTGCATTTGTAAGATTTAATTTATCCTTTTGCATTTCATTACTCATTATAATCAAACTATTATTTATTAGAATTTGATAATAATAATAATAGTTATTGTTATTGTTATTTTTATTTCTAGTTTGGCTCCGCCTCATGCAAAGCTATGGACTATTTTAACTGCAGTGTTTTATGAAAACAGCATCATTTTAGTATGACAATAATAATAATATTGTTACTATTTTTTATTTTTTTAGGTTTTCCTTGATATCGTTGCTTTGGTGGGTTTTTCGTTACTTCTGGAGCCCCTCTGGGGTTTAAAGAGATACCTAGTGAGTTTGTTATAATTTATTTTATTTTTAAAATCTCAATAGATATTCTCTTGTCTTGTTGGGTGTGTCAGTATGGTCTCTGTGGCAACGGTTTGTTTTCTTGTCTACGTGTGCTCTGGTTCAATTCAGATACTGTGAGAGAGAGAGAGAGGGGGGAGAGAGAGAGAGAGAGAGAGAGAGAGAGAGGGAGAGAGAGAGAGAGAGGGAGGGAGGGAGGGAGGAAAATAAGGACAAATTTAATGTATCATTATAAATTTAGACTAGTCACTAGTGTTACATGTAGAAAGTTTGAGAGCACAAGTTTTTGAGTTGAAAATATATATGTTAGCTTGAGCCCCACGTGCAGATATGGGGTCTGGAACATACATGTACATGTAAGGTCCTAATTTTGGCAGCCCTCGGGGGGGGGGGGGGGAGAAGATTTGAACTAGAAATTGATGTGCATGTATTATATTATACTTTTTTGTAGTTTTTTAAAGATTCATGGTTTCATTGGTCTGGTCTGTGGTTATCTTGTTGCTGTCAAACAGGCTCATCCTGACAGTGTGGCTTTCCCTCCTCCTGCCCCTCCCACTCTCAGAGTAAAGGTAAGAAATACCTCATGGATGTAGTATACATGTACATATACATGTGTAGCCATCTATGGTCATGAAGAATGAACTTTTAAACAAAATTGGGCCAAAGTCTCTGTACTATAATAGTACAGGGTCTTGAGCCAAATTTTGCCAAAATTGAAAAGTAGAGAATTCTTAACTTTTGTAATATTTTCTGATACATATACATGTTCTTATGTTGTGTAGA